ACAAGTAAACAGTCAGCAATTAAATAAGAATAAGAAACTAATTACTAGCAACAGACCAAAAAACAGTAGAACAAATAAATAAGAAATGATACATGTATTGTATAAAGTAATCAAAGGTATAAAAACACATTCTTAATTGTGTTAATTAAATATATATTCTTATTAAATTTACAAAAGCGATTTTTTTAAAGAGCAGTGAGAGATTTTCTCTCTTTTGTTGTTTTATAACATGAATGACAGACAGCAGGAATATAAGACTGCTGTCACTTTAAGAGCTGCCCAGATTCAATATACTGTTACACATGTGTTTTTTCTCAGCTGTTTTGCTTTCACTTTCACAAGACTTAAATTACTGTGTTTATGAGGATACTTGCAAAGACGGGCATTTTTACACTTAAAAGTGTGTGTATTTAACCGTTCAAGGCCTATAAAGTTGCAAAAATTACTTAATACTCCTACATTCTATGAGCCCCATCTTCACGTGCTCGCGCCTCTCTGACAGCGCTCAGAAACAGCGAGTATGTTTACATGGACGTCAGTAATCTAATTATTTACTTTTCTCTCAATATGACAATATTATGATTAAGGTGTTTACATGAGTTGCTTTTAGAATATTCCTTTTACATGTTATAGTGCATAGATTGATTAATGGCACACGTCATTACGTCCCCTCCAGAATTTCACGTATCTGCATGCAATTCATTTTCGTTATGGTACCATATACAGTTTTGGGTGTTTCATTTTCAAGTGCAATTATTGTCATTCTATACATGGAAACAGACGACAGCGGATACAAATTCTCCAGCAACAGTCCTCCTCTTCCCTTTCATTCGGCAACATTTCATTCATGCCTCTGCGACAAACTCTACTGGATGGTGCTTGATGAGAGTACGAAGTAAGGACTGGTGAGAGAGAGTTGTTTTAATGGAATTTTGTTTGCCATCAAACGCTTTACCACTGCCATGTGTGCATCCAGTCGCAAAATGCTACACAACGATAATAGTGTTATTAAGGTGTTTATAGCGAAATTAGTTATCTTTCGCTGCTGATTGTTTCAACGGCTTTAAATCACTTGTTTTTAAACTGCAACGCTTAAAAACTTGTAGCACAGCAATGTCATATAATTGTGTAGCTGCGATAGAGACCATAGTCGAAAATCTCTACCGGTTGACAAATATCTATCGGTTAATCGTGTATACCGGTATATCGCCCACACCTGTTTCATATCTGGTTGCATTTTATTTTGTGAATTCCCTAGAATTGGGAGAGGTTAGGTTAGCGAAATGAAGAGCAACCCAGAGAAAGATCACCTACTGTATCATGATCAAATAATCACCTGTTTTAAGAGAATTGATAGCTCAGTCCATGGCAGAGTTTTTGGAGGTCAAAAGTGCAGACTGAAGGCCCCCATCGGCTTAAACCCAGAACACTGTCAGCTTGCTAATTAAAGCATTGCCACCAAAACAGAACAAATCTCAGTTCATTGACTTCGCTTATCAATTAGTCAGCCGTTTGTGACCATCCCTAGACCCCATTCTTTCAGACGGTAACATTTACTGCCCCGCGCGGGGACTCGCATCCTTCATTTATGCAGAGCTTTTGTGTGTGTGTGGTGACACAGCTCCCATCATGCTCCTGTGGTTTGACCGCAGGTATGTTGTTTTGAAGCGCTGAGGCTCTTATCTTGGAAATAGCCATCTGTTTTACACAGGCTGGCTAATGGGGCCGAAAAATGTCACGAAACACAAACTTTGCTTTATCGTCATTTCTCCGTCCGTCCTGCCTTTTTGTTTCAGTTCAGGGCAGGAAGTTCTGCCTTCTCCTCTTTGAAGGCTTATCTTGTTTTTTCACAGCAAACCTGTCTAAAGATTGTGTTGCTGCTGCACTATCCT